CTGACAAGTGAGGTGAGATGCCTTGTCGAAACCCGTGACACAAAACCTGCTGCAGAGACCTGCCAAACACCCCTGAATTTGCCTCTTGCCTCCGTGGCCTTTCCAAATCCCACTCCAGGCAGCAGATGGTGGCAGAAAAGAGGCAGCAGATCTTAACTGGGAGAAAAACGAAAATGGCATCTGAACTGGAAAATGTTTGCGCAGACAGGGTGGGCCTTTCAAAACCCCCCTTTTTTTTTTTCTTTGCAAAACAGCGGCACCAAAATTGCAAAAGCATCTGCTGGTGTGGGTCAGTGGGAATCCCCATTCTCTCCGCTGTTCAAGGTCTAGCCATGGGGCTGAAAAGTATCGTGCACAAAGGGCAGACACGAAGCCTGGGCATATGGCTCTCCTGTGGGGTTTTTGCCCCATGGTAACTGCCTGTTGATTTAAAGCTTAACCTTCTGGGCCTGCAGGCTGGATAAGCGGTGCAGGGTTGGTCCACAGATGTGATCCAGCATGCTGGTCTGGCCCAGTGCTCCAAATATGGCCATGCCTCAGCCTGACCCCACACACAGGAGTCCCGCCATGGAGCAATCCCATGTAACAGCCCTGTTGTGTGCCAGCACGATCTAGTGCCAGGCCACATCATCCAGCCTACAGGACTCATTACAGGTCTACAAATCCGGCGGCAGGGAAGCGGCAATTTATTCTGCCAAATTTCCAGACCTGTGAACTGGATGATGTGGCCTCACCAAGCAGATTTGGCCAGTGGGCCAGAGATCGAGTATCACTGATTTAAGGAATAAAAGTCAGGGTAGAAGTTAGCTCTGGAGGGACACACTAGCAAATCTGTCCAACAAAAGCACCCAAACTCATGATCACTGGGATATTTTGATTCCCCATATCTACTTACCAAAGCTTTAGGGCTAAAGAAGAACTGGATAAAATCTTTTGACATGAAAAATTCATCAACCAAAAAAGGCCTGTATAACAATTCACCAAAAAAGAGGGGTCTTTTTGCTTGACTTTTTTCATCCCAGAAAAGCCTTCCTTTATCATATATTCATTTATCTTTTCTTTTTGGAGGGTGTGTTTTCTTCTACCCTCTGGCAAATTTTGATTGACCAATTTAGTGACAAAAGAAGAGTTCTTCTGAAATGGAAAACATGCTAAAAAAAAGATGGGTTCACTTACAAAAGTCAATAGAGCTCATCTGAAAAATCAGAGTTTTCAAGGGGGAGAAACAACTGGAAACACATGGTCAAAAACAACTGCAAAAGAATGAAGGACCAAAAAAATATATTTTCCTAGCTTAACATCATCTGACATTTTACTGATTTTGGTTTTTTGAGTTTTTTTCTGGCTATTCCCACCTCAACTGTCCCTTTGCTCTTGAGGTAATTCTAGATGTTTGGAAGCCTTGGAATTAAAAAAAAGATAACTCACTGATGTCTTTCAGAAGGAGACAGCTGCATTGGAAAAATTCTACCGTGACTTTTTCCTCTTGGAAGGGCTCTTTTGGTGGATTGTTAAGCAAACCAGGAATTTGCTTGACTCCCTAGGTCAAGAAGCAATGGAGTCTTCACTGCCACCGTGTCGTGGGAAAGTCCACAACGCCAGCAAAGAGTAAACCCCCGCGCAACGCAGGATGAGAAACGGAGAGGTCCCAGCAGGTTTTGTGGCACTGAGGGTTTATGATCTCAAGCGGAAAATAAATGCAGAGGGGCAGTGGGTGGGGAGCGATGCAAATCATGGAAGATGCCAGGCCTGGGTTCTAAAGCCCAACCACCTGCCGAGGCGAGAGAAAGGCGCGACCCAGCCTCTGTCTGCAGAAGCCTCCCAAAAGCCCTTCACTACAAGATTCCTGAGCTAACTACAACTGCATTTCCTCTTGTTACCATTTGCTGGCTGGGGTGGAGGTGGGGAGGGGGAACCTGGGACCTGAAGACATTTGATGGCCATAGCAATAAGAGGGACAACTCACCAGTGTCTACTAAACGGACAGGGTGGCAAGACCAGAGTGTGGCACGTGGGTATAAACTAGAGTACCTATCCCACGGAGGAAAACGCCTGCCAACGAGGACTAAAGGACCCCTTCTCTGGTCATTCATCGCTCCATGCCGCCTCCGAGACCAAACAGTCCTTAGAAAGGACCTGGCATATTGCATTTAGTGCTGGGAACTACGGCCAAATCCTTAGCTGGTGTGGACTAATTGTGGCTCTACTGCAGGGGTGGGCAAACCGCAGCCTGCGGGCCAAATGCGGCCCCCCAGGCCATTCTATCCGGCTCGTGGGGCCCCTAAAAAACTTAGAAAATTAATATTTATCTGCCCCTGGCTGCCTGTCATGCAGCCCTCGATGGCTTGCCAAAACTCGGTAAGCAGCCCTCTGCCTGAAATAATTGCGCAGCCCTGCTCTACTGCATCAGCTTAAATCAGCAGAGATCAGCTTAGATCTGGCTCTCAGGGTTCAAATATTTTGCTGAAGATTTGAAAAGTAGAAAGTGTTTGTTTCTGCTTGGGGGAGAGGCCCCGATACAAATGTGCTCTGTCAGAGATGCCTTGGTGAAGGGCATTGCCACAGGTTTGGTGCAACTCCAACCCATATGCAGTGCCATGCCAAGGGCACAGACTGGTAGGCATAAGTGCCTTGGGCCTCTTTGGCCTCAAACACGTGAAGGGGTCGGGGCGGGGGTAATCTAGAAGCAACGTGCACCCTCTTAGCTGTGTGCCCACAGGCAAGCTGGGCTCAGCTACTGCCTGGGAAGTGCGAGGGACCCACTTTGGTTTGTCCAGGGGTCAAACACCCCTGATGGGGACAGACAGACATCAATTCCAGGTGGGCACAGGCTCTTTCAAAATCAGGACAGCTTAAGTTTCCCTGGGTTAAATCATTCATAGATCCACAACCTTAGTGAACAGCCAGTAGCTGGATTTTAACTAAATCCTCAGATTTCATGAATGCACAGTCAAGAAGGGAACCAGGAGGGAATCTTGTATACATCCAACAGCTCCTGGCCTGCACAGAGGCAAGCACATCACTTGTTTCATACAGCCAAGAGCTGGCTGGCCAAAGCATCACTTACCCACATAAGACTGAGAGAGAAGTGATATTCAGGGGCTGTGAACAGCAGTGGATTTGACCTAGTGAAGAAGAACTGGGGGACTAGATTTTTAAAGGCTTTAAGCACCTTACTTCCATTGATTTCAAGGAGAACTGTGCACCTTTCTCCATAGATACCAATGGGATTTCAGGTCTGCCTCTTGCATAGCATACATTTTTTTCACCCTGTTCCTTAAACCAGGTCACGGCTATACCAGCATCTGTTTATAACACCCAGATCAAGTCAGCTATGGACAAGGCTGCTGCCCATAAATGATAAGCAGGCAGAGAGATGGCAATTTCCCTTGCAGAATGCACGGGCTCCTAGTCACAGAATGGTCTAAAGCTTTGGCTGAGCTGATTACAGTATATTAGGGTCAGGTCAGCACGGTGTGTGGGTGATGATGTGGTCAGGAACAGGATAAAGATGTATGTTCTGTTCCATCTGTGACTGGACATGTCTGTCCCAGCTATCGAGACATGAGAAACCGGTTTGAGTAGCATGTCCTGGGAGAAAGACTTTGAGCCTCACCTGTTCATATTGCACTCGCTTCTGTCCAGGAAATCATTCATTAGAAATCTGAAGTCAAACACACTGGAATTGGCCAAACTTGAAAGAAAATGTACGTCCAAATGGCTGCGTTTAAAAAATGAACAAAGGGGAAATATTCTCCCAAGTTCGCAATTTCTTCCCACCCATTTAGTGACTGAGGAATAGCCTAGGGTCGAAGTTTCGAATTCCTGAATTTTGAAGATGCATATTGGGCAGAGGAAAACAGGTTTTGACAGTATTTTTGTAGGTCCCCTCCCTAGATTTGTAGCCCTCTATGGGACTGGGTAGAATTTTCAGAATTTGAATTATTCAATTAAACATCTGCATTTGATAGGGGAGATGACAGAAAACATTTTTTCATTAATTTTTTGCAAATTTACCTCCCTTGGTTTCAAGAGCTTCATTAAATGCCTTCAAATTTCACAATTTCAGTGACAATTTACAATTCTAATAAAACTTTTACTAAATATTCCTGAATCATTTCTTCCTGCGCCCCCTACCACAGCAATTCTAATTGATATCTGATTGGCATGAGTTTTAATTAAGGTAAGATTTAGATACTCCTTTATATTCCCCACTCCCTCCTCCTGCATCTGGCTAGTGAAATGACAATATCTGTAATTTTTTTTTTTTTTTAAGATGCAGCTTTTAACTGCATTGCATATATTTTGAAGCGATATTTCCCCTTTGTACCATTCCAGAATGCAACAGGGACTTTGGAAGGGAAAAAAAAAAACTTAGCTATTATTTGCAGAAAACTGTGGCAAAAATCTGATTAGTTTTGCATATCTACTGGTGGGGGCATTTACAGTCATTGAGATTCATATGAACATTAGGAGAGTGCACTCAAATTGAGGGCTTGATTCTTATTCATCCTAGAGTCCCTTTGCAGAGGCTTGGAGGTACAGAGGGTACCCCGTTAAGTGCATATGATTTATATCTCATTCCCTGGTCAGTGAACCACCTAAACCAGGGCATCTAGGCTAATCTACACCAGCTGAGGATCCAGCCCAGTCAGCTGCAATTTTGTGATGGAGATTTATTACTATTTTGGTTTAATTGGCCATTTTTCAATCCAGTTGGATTTGAAAGTGGCTAAACGTAGCCAAGTCCCTGAAGCAAGAAGCTCACCTGGGGACTGAGCTTTCACAGAGCAGAGCTGTTTTGCTTATAACCCCCACCCCCAGCAAAGGCAGGGGACTGCCTTGTCCTGAAAGGCCACCCACTTTGCTGCAGGAGCCCAGGGCAAGCAAAAAGATCTACCCCTGACCACACACGAGCTAGATCAGGAGCAGAACTGAAGCACCCCAGGCTGGGGTGGCTCCCCCTGGTCTTAGGCAAGGGAGCAAATTGGATCGAGTTGGATCTGGGCTGAAGAAGGTGTACGCACGGGGAGGAGATTTGGGCGCACAGAGCCTGGGGGATTCGGAGCTGAAATGGGCATGGCGCATGCGTGTTGGTGCGTGCATCCAGGGGGCTCATGTGCACGGCACCCACAGACAACATCCTACAGATAGTTCCTCTTCTCTAACCCTTATCACCGAAGGCACTCTACTCTCAAAATTAGGTCTGGTCTGATTAGCAGGGCCTGAGCCCAAGCCCTCCTTGACTCCCGGCTGCGAGTGGGCAATGGTCACCGACAACAGCTCGAGGGCAAGCCCCTCCGGCAACTAGCTTTTTGGTGAAGTTATTTTGTCCTTTCCCTCCCTCCCCCTCCCTGCTTCCCTCCATCCTACGCTGCTCTCAGCCACAGAGTGCCTTATGTACTGCATACGTTGCCTGCTGCGCTAGAATGAATGCCTACAAAAGTCCTAAAGCTAGTTCTCAGGCAGTTGATA